AGGCCGCAGGCACGGCGGCCGTTTCCGCCGCCGCGCCGCTCGCGACAGAGGCGGAGGGGCTGAGGCTGCACCTCTCCAGCAGCAACGCCACCGGCTACAGAGGAGTGTGCGCGGACAGGAGCCGCTACCAGGCGAAGCACAGGGCGGGCGAAAGGATGGTCTACTTGGGCACCTTTGCCACGGCGGTGGAGGCGGCGGTGGCGTACGCGCGGGCGGTAGGGGAGGCGGAGGCGGCAGGCGCGGGAGGGCCAGCGCGGGCAGCAGCTGCGGCGGGGGATGCGGAGGCGGGGGAGGCGATGGAGGCTGCGGAGGCCAGGGAGATGGAGGCGATGGAGGCAGAGGAGGCGGAGGAGGCAGCGGCGGCGGCGGCGGCGGAGGAGGAGGAGGGCGCAGAGGGGGCGCCGGAGGAGGAAGAGGCGGCGAAGGCCGCAGGCACGGCGGCCGTTTCCGCCGCCGCGCCGCTCGCGACAGAGGCGGAGGGGCTGAGGCTGCACCTCTCCAGCAGCAACGCCACCGGCTACAGAGGAGTGTGCGCGGACAGGAGCCGCTACCAGGCGAAGCACAGGGCGGGCGAAAGGATGGTCTACTTGGGCACCTTTGCCACGGCGGTGGAGGCGGCGGTGGCGTACGCGCGGGCGGTAGGGGAGGCGGAGGCGGCAGGCGCGGGAGGGCCAGCGCGGGCAGCAGCTGCGGCGGGGGATGCGGAGGCGGGGGAGGCGATGGAGGCTGCGGAGGCCAGGGAGATGGAGGCGATGGAGGCAGAGGAGGCGGAGGAGGCAGCGGCGGCGGCGGCGGCGGAAGGAGGAGGAGGGCGCAGAGGGGGCGCCGGAGGAGGAAGAGGCGGCGGAGGCCGCAGGCACGGCGGCCGTTTCCGCCGCCGCGCCGCTCGCGACAGAGGCGGAGGGGCTGAGGCTGCACCTCTCCAGCAGCAACGCCACCGGCTACAGAGGAGTGTGCGCGGACAGGAGCCGCTACCAGGCGAAGCACAGGGCGGGCGAAAGGATGGTCTACTTGGGCACCTTTGCCACGGCGGTGGAGGCGGCGGTGGCGTACGCGCGGGCGGTCGGGCAGGCGGAGGCGGCAGGCGCAGGAGGGCCAGCGCAAGCAGCAGCAGCGGCAGCGGGGGAGGCGGAGGCGGGGGAGACGGAAGAGGAAGAGGCTGCGGAGGCCAGGGAGATGGAGGCGATGGAGGCAGAGGAGGCGGAGGAGGCAGCGGCGGCGGCGGAGGAGGAGGAGGAGGAGGGCGCAGAGGGGGCGCCGGAGGAGGAAGAGGCGGCGGAGGCCGCAGGCACGGCGGCCGTTTCCGCCGCCGCGCCGCTCGTGACAGAGGCGGAGGGGCTGCATCTGCACCTCTCCAGCAGCAACGCCACCGGCTACAGAGGAGTGCGCGAGCACTCTGGCCGCTACCAGGCGAAGCGCGGGGGGGACTGCAAGGAGTCTACTTGGGCAACTTCGCCACGGCGGTGGAGGCGGCGGTGGCGTACGCGCGTGCGGTCGGCGAGTACCAGCCTCCGGCTCCTCCGACGGTGGCGACAGAGGCGGAGG